GATTTTCTCTGCAAAGACCGTCGGAGCTGTGTCTCTAAGAGTTTGGTTTGTGATGGGCGTGCTCATTGTCACGATGGATCAGATGAGGTTGACTGCCCAAGTGTATCTAATCCTGCAACAACAAAACCTCTGGCCCTCACCACCTCAACAATTTGCATCACTCCTTCAGTTCTCTGTCCAGGTTCATCACTGTGTCTCTCTCAGAATCAGCTGTGTGATGGAATCAGAGACTGCCCTGATGGATCTGATGAAAATGACTGTGTTCTCCAGTGTAACAACCCAGGTAAGTCTCTGTCCACCACAGTGCAGAAGTAACTGCAGACCACCAAGCCAATGATGCCATAGATACTGTGGGAGGGGTTTGAAATCCTAGAAGTTCAGAGTGGCAATAGTATGTGTAACACTCATACATCTTCTTTCTCCCTGCACATCAGATGACTTCTTGTGCAGTGACCGGAGAAAGTGCATTCCCTGGCTGAAAGTTTGTGATGGTCATGCTAACTGTCCTGATGGCTCAGATGAGAAACTGTGTGGGTCAGCACATCCTACCGTTCCCTGTAAGCAAGCAAAACATTGAACAGTAAAGTGTCAAGCAGTTTAACTTCATGAACCTATTGAACCATCACAGTAGTTGTAGCTCCTGCTAGGCAGTACCTACTAACTACTGTGTTCAAACATGGCTCACCTTAGAAACGTGGCACTTTTATCCCCCCCAACGCCCTAACCTGTACAGAAATACACAATACCCTAGAAGCATCATAGCAAATATCGAGCAACATGCTATCAATCATCTCATCACACCACAGCAAAATATCCAAAATAAGTTTTCCTTAGCTAGTAACTACGTGTTCTAATCGCTTGATGAGTTAAGCCTTTCATTTTCCATCTTGTCTGTTGACTCAACTCTCAATCTAAACTGTGAGATCACAATTAAATTTTCTCTGTGCCAAGCCTCCATCGATGTGCTAGATGCCAAATCATCACCTCTGAGGTGCCGCAGAGGTTTTGAGCTCTGTGCAGATGGCAGAGAGTGTGTTTTATCCAGCCATGTGTGTGATGGAGAGAGAGACTGTCAGGATGGATCAGATGAACTGGGATGTGGTGAGTTCCCCCAGACAAAATCTGTCCAATGTGAAATAAAGTTGGAATCCTTTTTTTCTAAATGATTTCGTCAGGTTTTCACTTCGGTATTTTCAAGTTATCTTTGAACACATGTCACCATTCAGTTAAACTTGTAGTAACTAAACTATGATTTCCCATCTTGAAGATGTCACAGAACAGGGAGTGGTGTCATCAACAAATCAGAAATCTGCTACCGATTCTCCAACTCTGCTGACCTGCCGCAGTCCCGCTGTCCTTTGTCCTTCTGCTGAGCTCTGCATTTCCCCAAACCAGTTCTGCAATGGTCTTGTAGACTGTCCAGATGGATTTGATGAGAAGAACTGTGTGAAAAGATGTTCCTCTAACAGTAAGCCACAAATCTGGAGTGTGCATTTTAATTCCAAATATTTTAAGGTTATTGATGTATTAATGCTGATCACTGACTTGTTCCATTATTTCAGATTTGAAAAGCCCCAATCTTAGTTTATTTCTCACAATTTCTTCTCAGATGATTTTCTCTGCAAAGACCGTCGGAGCTGTGTCTCTAAGAGTTTGGTTTGTGATGGGCGTGCTCATTGTCACGATGGATCAGATGAGGTTGACTGCCCAAGTGTATCTAATCCTGCAACAACAAAACCTCTGGCCCTCACCACCTCAACAATTTGCATCACTCCTTCAGTTCTCTGTCCAGGTTCATCACTGTGTCTCTCTCAGAATCAGCTGTGTGATGGAATCAGAGACTGCCCTGATGGATTTGATGAAAATGACTGTGTTCTCCAGTGTAACAACCCAGGTAAGTCTGTCCACCACAGTGCAGAAGTTCAGACCACCTACCCACCAAGCCAATGATGCCATAGACACTGAGGGGTTTGAAATCCTAGGAGTTCAGAAAAGTTGTAGTATTGTCCCTGTATGTGTACCAGTGTTACTCTGTATACTATCATACTTGCACTACTGTCACTGATTGTACAGGGTTTCAGTCATAGCCTATTAAGTTGTATCATTTAGTTTTATCCTAATCACTTTCACTTAGCTTTCTTATGTTTTTAGTTTCCTAAATGGTATGGCATTCAATACTAGGTGAGAAATGGTATTTCAATTTTCTGTATGTCCTGCACATATAGTGAATTGACAATGAAAATGTTTGATCTTGATCCTTCTCCCTGCACATCAGGTGACTTCTTGTGCAGTGACCGGAGGAAGTGCATTCCCTGGCTGAAAGTTTGTGATGGTCATGCTAACTGTCCTGATGGCTCAGATGAGAAACGGTGTGGGTCAGCACATCCTACTGTTCCCTGTAAGTAAACAAATGATGGAGTGGAACAGTAAAGTGTTTAACTCCATTAACATATTGAGCATCACAGTAGATGTAGCTCCTGCTAGGCAATACCCACTAACTGCTTGCGGTGTTTAAACATGATCATCTTAGTAATGTCACACTTCTACCTACAAACACTTAGTCCTATTAAAACTGACTTGGACACCCAGGCAACATCTAGTGATGCCACCTAGTAACACCCTTACCTGTACAGATATGTACCTTAGCAGCATGCTATCAATCATTTCAATATACATGGTTATCCAAAAAGAATGAACCGATTTCATGACGCAATATTTTATTTTATTAAGGAAAAAAAAAAACCATACAAAACTCCAGCCAAGTCACAAGTATTCTACTCACAATCAACTTTTATTTCCTGTCTTGCAAGTGGTTCAATGTGGCCACCACTTGCAGCACAGGCAACATCAATGCAATAAGAGAATTCCTCCCAGGCGCGTATTAGCATATCACGATCCACTGAGTTGATTGCTGTTATTCGATATTTAAGGTCATTAATTTCACATGCCATTTAAGCCATTCAAAACTTGGATAACTCCTCTTTCAAATGGTCACTGACTCATTCATGACGATGCTTAAACTGAAGCGATGTGTAATGAAATCGGTTCATTCTTTTTGAATAACCCTGTACTACTGCAAAATGTCCAACCTGATTACACTGTTTTCCTCAACTAGTAACCACACATTCTTCATGTCACTTGATAAAATGTTACATTCATCACTGTTTACTCCAACTCTAAATCTGAACTATGCATCAAATCATTACTAACTACATTTTCTGTGTGCCAAGCCTCCATCAATGTGCTAGATGCCAAATCATCACCTCTGAGGTGCCGCAGAGGTTTTGAGCTCTGTGCAGATGGCAGAGAGTGTGTTTTATCCAGCCATGTGTGTGATGGAGAGAGAGACTGTCAGGATGGATCAGATGAACTGGGATGTGGTGAGTTACCCAAGATGTAATCTAATGTGAAACCCTAAGGTTGGAACCTTTTTGGTGTGGGTGTGGTGTTTGTGGTTTTTTAATATATAAATGCGACATGATTTCGTCAGGTTTTCACTTCAGTATTTTCAAGTTATCTTTGAACACATTTCACCATTCAGTTAAACTATGATTTCCCATCTTGAAGATGTCACAGAACAGGGAGTGGTGTCGCCAACAAATCAGAAATCTGCTACCGATTCTCCAACTCTGCTGACCTGCCGCAGTCCCGCTGTCCTTTGTCCTTCTGCTGAGCTCTGCATTTCCCCAAACCAGTTCTGCAATGGTCTTGTAGACTGTCCAGATGGATTTGATGAGAAGAACTGTGTGAAAAGATGTTCCTCTAACAGTAAGCCACAAATCTGGAGTGTGCATTTTAATTCCAAATATTTTAAGGTTATTGATGTATTAATGCTGATCACTGACTTGTTCCATTATTTCAGATTTGAAAAGCCCCAATCTTAGTTTATTTCTCACAATTTCTTCTCAGATGATTTTCTCTGCAAAGACCGTCGGAGCTGTGTCTCTAAGAGTTTGGTTTGTGATGGGCGTGCTCATTGTCACGATGGATCAGATGAGGTTGACTGCCCAAGTGTATCTAATCCTGCAACAACAAAACCTCTGGCCCTCACCACCTCAACAATTTGCATCACTCCTTCAGTTCTCTGTCCAGGTTCATCACTGTGTCTCTCTCAGAATCAGCTGTGTGATGGAATCAGAGACTGCCCTGATGGATCTGATGAAAATGACTGTGTTCTCCAGTGTAACAACCCAGGTAAGTTTGTCCACCACAGTGCAGAAGTTCAGACCATCTACCCACCAAGCCAATGATGCCATAGACACTGAGGGAGGGGTTTGAAATCCTAGGAGTTCAGAGTGGCAATAGTATCTGTAACACTCGTACATCTTCTTTCTCCCTGCACATCAGATGACTTCTTGTGCAGTGACCGGAGAAAGTGCATTCCCTGGCTGAAAGTTTGTGATGGTCATGCTAACTGTCCTGATGGCTCAGATGAGAAACTGTGTGGGTCAGCACATCCTACCGTTCCCTGTAAGCAAGCAAAACATTGAACAGTAAAGTGTCAAGCAGTTTAACTTCATGAACCTATTGAACCATCACAGTAGTTGTAGCTCCTGCTAGGCAGTACCCACTAACTACTGTGTTCAAACATGGCTCACCTTAGAAACGTGGCACTTTTATTTTCTGCAGACACTTGGTCCCATTAAAACTTGGACACCATGCAACATCTGGCAATGCCACACGAAGCACCTAGTAGCATCCTGACCTGTACAGAAATACACAATAACCCTAGAAGCCATCATAGCAAATATTGAGCAACATGCTATCATCTCATCACACCACAGCAAAATATCCAAAATAACAATCGTTTTCCTCAGCTAGTAACTACCAATGTTTTAATCATTTGATGATTTAAGCCTTGCATTTTCCATCTTGACTGTTGACTCAACTCTCAATCTAAACTGTGTGATCACAATTAAATGTTCTCTGTGCCAAGCCTCCATCGATGTGCTAGATGCCAAAACATCACCTCTGAGGTGCCGCAGAGGTTTTGAGCTCTGTGCAGATGGCAGAGAGTGTGTTTTATCCAGCCATGTGTGTGATGGAGAGAGAGACTGTCAGGATGGATCAGATGAACTGGGATGTGGTGAGTTCCCCCAGACAAAATCTGTCCAATGTGAAATAAAGTTGGAATCCTTTTTTTCTAAATGATTTCGTCAGGTTTTCACTTTGGTATTTTCAAGTTATCTTTGTTGAACACGTTTCACCATTCAGTTAAACTTGTAGTAACTAAACTATGATTTCCCATCTTGAAGATGTCACAGAACAGGGAGTGGTGTCGCCAACAAATCAGAAATCTGCTACCGATTCTCCAACTCTGCTGACCTGCCGCAGTCCCGCTGTCCTTTGTCCTTCTGCTGAGCTCTGCATTTCCCCAAACCAGTTCTGCAATGGTCTTGTAGACTGTCCAGATGGATTTGATGAGAAGAACTGTGTGAAAAGATGTTCCTCTAACAGTAAGCCACAAATCTGGAGTGTGCATTTTAATTCCAAATATTTTAAGGTTATTGATGTATTAATGCTGATCACTGACTTGTTCCATTATTTCAGATTTGAAAAGCCCCAATCTTAGTTTATTTCTCACAATTTCTTCTCAGATGATTTTCTCTGCAAAGACCGTCGGAGCTGTGTCTCTAAGAGTTTGGTTTGTGATGGGCGTGCTCATTGTCACGATGGATCAGATGAGGTTGACTGCCCAAGTGTATCTAATCCTGCAACAACAAAACCTCTGGCCCTCACCACCTCAACAATTTGCATCACTCCTTCAGTTCTCTGTCCAGGTTCATCACTGTGTCTCTCTCAGAATCAGCTGTGTGATGGAATCAGAGACTGCCCTGATGGATTTGATGAAAATGACTGTGTTCTCCAGTGTAACAACCCAGGTAAGTTGGTCCACCACAGTGCAGAAGTTCAGACCATCTACCCACCAAGCCAATGATGCCATAGACACTGAGGGAGGGGTTTGAAATCCTAGGAGTTCAGAGTGGCAATAGTATCTGTAACACTCGTACATCTTCTTTCTCCCTGCACATCAGATGACTTCTTATGCAGTGACCGGAGAAAGTGCATTCCCTGGCTGAAAGTTTGTGATGGTCATGCTAACTGTCCTGATGGCTCAGATGAGAAACGGTGTGGGTCAGCACATCCTACTGTTCCCTGTAAGTAAACAAATGATGGAGTGGAACAGTAAAGTGTTTAACTCCATTAACATATTGAGCATCACAGTAGATGTAGCTCCTGCTAGGCAATACCCACTAACTGCTTGCGGTGTTTAAACATGATCATCTTAGTAATGTCACACTTCTACCTACAAACACTTAGTCCTATTAAAACTGACTTGGACACCCAGGCAACATCTAGTGATGCCACCTAGTAACACCCTTACCTGTACAGATATGTACCTTAGCAGCATGCTATCAATCATTTCAATATACATGGTTATCCAAAAAGAATGAACCGATTTCATGACGCAATATTTTATTTTATTAAGGAAAAAAAAAAACCATACAAAACTCCAGCCAAGTCACAAGTATTCTACTCACAATCAACTTTTATTTCCTGTCTTGCAAGTGGTTCAATGTGGCCACCACTTGCAGCACAGGCAACATCAATGCAATAAGAGAATTCCTCCCAGGCGCGTATTAGCATATCACGATCCACTGAGTTGATTGCTGTTATTCGATATTTAAGGTCATTAATTTCACATGCCATTTAAGCCATTCAGAACTTGGATAACTCCGCTTTCAAATGGTCACTGACTCATTCCATGACTGCTTGAACTGAAGCAATGCGTAATGAAATCGGTTCATTCTTTTTGAATAACCCTGTACTACTGCAAAATGTCCAACCTGATTACACTGTTTTCCTCAACTAGTAACCACACATTCTTCATGTCACTTGATAAAATGTTACATTCATCACTGTTTACTCCAACTCTAAATCTGAACTATGCATCAAATCATTACTAACTACATTTTCTGTGTGCCAAGCCTCCATCAATGTGCTAGATGCCAAATCATCACCTCTGAGGTGCCGCAGAGGTTTTGAGCTCTGTGCAGATGGCAGCGAGTGTGTTTTATCCAGCCATGTGTGTGATGGAGAGAGAGACTGTCAGGATGGATCAGATGAACTGGGATGTGGTGAGTTTCCCCAAGACGAAATCTGTCCAATGTGAAATAAAGTTGGAATCTTTTTTTTCTAAATGATTTCGTCAGGTTTTCACTTTGGTATTTTCAAGTTATCTTTGTTGATCTCGTTTCACCATTCAGTTAAACTTGTAGTAACTAAACTATGATTTCCCATCTTGAAGATGTCACAGAACAGGGAGTGGTGTCGCCAACAAATCAGAAATCTGCTACCGATTCTCCAACTCTGCTGACCTGCCGCAGTCCCGCTGTCCTTTGTCCTTCTGCTGAGCTCTGCATTTCCCCAAACCAGTTCTGCAATGGTCTTGTAGACTGTCCAGATGGATTTGATGAGAAGAACTGTGTGAAAAGATGTTCCTCTAACAGTAAGCCACAAATCTGGAGTGTGCATTTTAATTCCAAATATTTTAAGGTTATTGATGTATTAATGCTGATCACTGACTTGTTCCATTATTTCAGATTTGAAAAGCCCCAAGCTTAGTTTATTTCTCACAATTTCTTCTCAGATGATTTTCTCTGCAAAGACCGTCGGAGCTGTGTCTCTAAGAGTTTGGTTTGTGATGGGCGTGCTCATTGTCACGATGGATCAGATGAGGTTGACTGCCCAAGTGTATCTAATCCTGCAACAACAAAACCTCTGGTCCTCACCACCTCAACAATTTGCATCACTCCTTCAGTTCTCTGTCCAGGTTCATCACTGTGTCTCTCTCAGAATCAGCTGTGTGATGGAATCAGAGACTGCCCTGATGGATTTGATGAAAATGACTGTGTTCTCCAGTGTAACAACCCAGGTAAGTCTGTCCACCACAGTGCAGAAGTTCAGACCACCTACCCACCAAGCCAATGATGCCATAGACACTGAGGGAGGGGTTTGAAATCCTAGGAGTTCAGAGTGGCACTAGTATGTGTAACACTCGTACATCTTTCTCCCTGCACATCAGGTGACTTCTTATGCCGTGACCGGAGAAAGTGCATTCCTAGGATCCAAGTTTGTGATGGTCATGCTAACTGTCCTGATGGCTCAGATGAGAAACTGTGTGGGTCAGCACATCCTACCTTTCCATGTAAGCAGACAAAGTATAGTGCAGCAGTAGTGGGTGAAAGCAGTTAATAAAATTAACATACTGCTTGCAACATTTAAACATTGTTCACATTGATGATGTATTACTTCTTCCTACAAAGACCTGGTCCCATTAAAATCAACCTGGACACCCAAGCAACCTGTATTGATGCCACAAGAGCAATCTCAACACCCTAGCAGCCATCATATCAAATACCAAGGAAACATGCTATCAGTTATCTCACTACACCACAGCAAAATGTCCAGAATAACCACTGTTTTCCTGAACGATCAACTAAACTTTTTATATTGCTAGATAAAAGTATGACGCCACTCTAAATATAAGCTGTGTGATTACTAAATGTTCTCTGTGCCAAGCCTCCAACGATGTGCTAGATGCCAAATCACCTCTGAGGTGCCGCAGAGGTTTCGAGCTCTGTGCAGATGGCAGAGAGTGTGTTTTATCCAGCCATGTGTGTGATGGAGAGAGAGACTGTCAGGATGGATCAGATGAACTGGGATGTGGTGAGTTTCCCCAAGACATAATCTAATGTGAAACACTCTAAGGTTGGACATTTTTCTTGATGATTAACATGATTTGCTCAGGTTTTCACTTTGGTGTTTTTAAGTTATCACTGTTATGGAACCCATTTGACCATTCAGTGTAACTAAACTATGTGATTCCAATATTAAAGATGGGGCAAAATGGGAAGTGTCTCCAACAAGACCTATTGTTACTGCACATCCTCCTCCGACGGTGCCGACTTGCCACAGTCCCTCTGTGCTTTGTCCTTCTGTTCATCTCTGCATTTCCCCGAACCAGTTTTGCAATGGTTTTATAGACTGTCCAGATGGCTTTGATGAGAAGAACTGTGTGAAAAGATGTCCCTCAAACAGTAAGCCACAAATCTGGAGTGTTGGAATTCCAGATTAAGTATTGATTATACTGATTTCACTTTATTCCTGATGTTCAGGAGTGATATGAAACTTGGAAAGCTTAATTTGTTTTCTTTGCATTTCTTGCCAGATGATTTTCTCTGCAAAGACCGCCGGGGCTGTATCTCTAAGAGTTTGGTTTGTGACGGGCGCGCTCATTGCCTTGATGGGTCAGATGAAGTTAACTGCCCAAGCGTATCCATTACTACATCTCAGCCGAATGCCTTGAAGTGCCGTATAGGGTCAAAGCTGTGTAATGATGGCAGAGAGTGTGTTTTACACAGCCACATATGTGATGGAGAGGCAGACTGTGTGGATGGATCTGATGAACAGGGATGCCCAGAAGCCTGCTCACAAGGTTATTTTGCTGTAAACTCACATATCATTAGGTTAAAATGTTAACTGCCACTGACATCTTAGGAAGTGTCTTCTTTGCCATCATAATGTGTTTGCCTTGCCTTGTATTAGCATGACATAAGTGAAAAGCTGATCTGTCCATTAGAGTAACATCTTCTTTGACTATTTTTATGGAGGATGTTCATCTTTGATTTCTAACTTCACTTCCCATAATGCTTTGGGTAATAAACAGGAAGTGTTTGTGTTCATGGATTCAGTGAGCTGCGCTGTGACATACAGCTTGAGCCCTGTTTTTGACCCTATATTTGTCTATGTTTTGGCAAACTGGCACTATTAAATGTTTGGCAAATTGGCTATTAGTGATTTCTGTTTGCAGTGTACCCCTGTGTGTACAGTCAGCTTTCACAGGATTACTCTGATACAGAAGAACACGAAGAAATGTGAATGTTCGAGAGCTTGTCTGTAATGGATGAAGAGTAGCTTAAATTCAGGTAGCAACAAATCAACCTTTCAATGCACTTATTGCTTCAAAGTTGGTTAGCTGACAAAACTGCCAGTGAGAGCTAAAACTTTTAAAATGTTTTTCCAGACTCCATTCCTGCTCACCACCTCAACAATTTGCATCACTCCTTCAGTTCTCTGTCCAGGTTCATCACTGTGTCTCTCTCAGAATCAGCTGTGTGATGGAATCAGAGACTGCCCTGATGGATCTGATGAAAATGACTGTGTTCTCCAGTGTAACAACCCAGGTAAGTCTCTGTCCACCACAGTGCAGAAGTAACTGCAGACCACCAAGCCAATGATGCCATAGATGCTGTGGGAGGGGTTTGAAATCCTAGAAGTTCAGAGAAGCTACAGTATTTTCAGTGTGTGTATTAGTGTAACTCTGCATACTATCATATTTGCACTACTGTCACTGATTGTACAGGGTTTCCGTCATAGCCTATTAAGTTGTATCATTTAGTTTTATCCTTATCACTTTGACTTGGCTTTCTTATTCTTTTTGGTATGTTTTTAGTTTCCTAAATGGTATGGCATTCAATACTAGGTGAGAAACTGTATTTTCATATCTTATTTCACCTTTCACATCAGGTGACTTCTTGTGCCGTGACCGGAGAAAGTGCATTCCCAGGATCAAAGTACTTAGAAACGTGGCACTTTTATCCCCCCCAACGCCCTAACCTGTACAGCACATCCTACTGTTCCCTGTAAGCAGACAGAAATATAGTGCAACAATAGTGGGTAAAAGCAGTTGATAGAACGATACATGTTAATAAAATTTTATCACAGTAGCTACTGCTAGGCAATACCCACTAATTGCTTGCTGTGTACAAACATTGCTCACCATAATGTCACAGTTAACTTAGAAACTACCTACTCCTTGTGAAGCAAGCAATACCCTGTGGCTCATTTAACTCACAGCAAAAACTCCAAACCACTTTTCTTCAGCTTCTTTTTTGTTATTTAGCGTTTCCCCATCTTCATCACCAATTAAATGAACCTTTTTTTTTTTTCTTTGTGCCAAGCCTCCATCAGTGTGCTCAATGCCAAATCATCACCTGTGACGTGCCGCAGAGGTTTCAGGCCATGTAATGATGGCCTGGAGTGTGTAATTTACAGCCATTGGTGTGATGGGGAGATGGATTGCCTTGATGGGTCAGATGAAGAAGGATGTGTTTCTCACTGCAAAGCAGGTTTGTTTTGGAGGAAAAGGTTTTACAAATTAAGTGTAGAAACATTCCTGATCTGAATAATCATTGTTAAATCAGCAACTCGTATATTTGAGAGGTTTTGTGCTGACATTTTTAGGGTGATATTACTCCCCCCCCTCATTACCCCAGGTGAGTTCCAGTGTGTTCATGGGAGTAGGTGCATCCCACCAGACCAGATGTGTGACGGTCAGTATGACTGTCGGGACCAATCTGATGAAATGGACTGTTCAAGGCTGGGTGAGGGTTGTGATCAGCGCTGTGATAACAACACCCGTTGTATACCAGAGACCTTTTTGTGTGATGGGGAGAGAGACTGCGCTGATGGGTCAGATGAGGAAAAGTGTGGTACGTGACTTCCAACATTTATTTGTACAGCAACTTGGATCACAATGTATAAACCATGTTTACAATCAGTGACGTTTGTTTCGCTCTTTACAGATTTGGTGCCCTGTGCATTTCACCAGTATCGCTGTATTAGTGGTCAATGTGTGTCTGAAGCTCTGAGATGTGATGGCTATGCTGACTGCAGTGACCGTTCTGATGAGATGCACTGCACAAGACCCCCACGTTGCCCAACACAGCTGCGATGCCCAAACAGCCACGAGTGTCTGCAGCAAGAGTGGCTCTGTGATGGTGAAGACGACTGCCCAGACGGATCAGATGAGAAGGTAAGTAGGGTGATCCGACTGAGGTGTAAAATCTGTACTGATTAGTAGAAGCAAAAAGACCTTTTCAGTTTTTTGCAGTGGGTTTTGGGAAGCAGTGCTTGAAACCTGGTCTCATTTCTTTCAAGAACTGCATGACACCAGTTGCTAAGTGTAGGGAGTATCAGTGGCAATGTGGAGACAGCAGTCAGTGCATCCCTGCGTCCTGGAGGTGTGACGGGAAGGAGGACTGTCACAATGGCGTAGATGAAGACAAATGTGAGCATGTTCTCAAATTTTCATTGTTCATCTCCAGACAGATTTACTCTTTGTTTCAGACACATCACTTGGGTCTGTTTGAACAGGATTAGTTGTTAAAGGGTAGGCTGTAATTTTTACTTCCATTCAGAGTAGAAAATCTCATTTTCTTGGACTGCAAGGCCTCATAAAATTTATGCATGGTATATTTAAGAGGATGTACACCATTTTCCAAAATTGTTGCAATTCAGTAAAATGTATTTTAACCATCATGGAGGATCTCCAATGCATGTGCTTCTGCTTTCACAGGCCGTCAGAGAAAATGCCCCACTCACCTTTACCAGTGTGATAGTGGTGAGTGTGTGGACCCCCAGCTGGTGTGTAATGGCTTCACCAACTGTGCTGATAGTTCGGATGAGGGTGTGGGATGTGCTCAGCACAACTGCTCCAGTCCATTAGCTCCTCGGTGTGACCACCACTGTGTCAGTACTCCAAACGGAGCGGTCAGTAAACATTTTGGTTTTTTATAAAATGCCTCCATGCCAGCAATAGCTGTGGCCAGAGGGTTTTTCAGGTTGTTCATTCTTGTGAACACTATCTCAAACACCTTGAGGAAATTGTTCCAATTTGGCACAAGTGTCCATTTAAACTCAAGGATGAACTTATTTTGGTGGTCCAAGGCTAAGGTCACAATGACCTTCATGTTTCTCCCATTCTGGTAAAGTTGACCGGTTTAGCATTAGGCCTCCAAATGCAATGGCAAGTCAGCTTTTCATAGGACTTGCTTTGTATATGGATAGGTTATGTCATAGCTAGAAACTCATGGTTGAAGTGTCTAGAAACATGAACACAACATTGACTATTCACATGTTAATGTGCACTAATCTCCTTTGTGCTTGGCTTGAAAATGCCTTTTCCCTCTCTTTTGCAGAACTGTTACTGTACTGCAGGTTTCAGACTACAGTCCAGTACCATGTCCTGTGTGGACATTGACGAGTGCAGTACAATGACGTATGCTGTGTGCAAACACATCTGCCTCAACACCCGTGGGTCCTACATGTGTCGTTGCCACCCAGGCTTCTACTTGGAGCCTGACAACAAAAGCTGTAAAACAAAAGGTATTGTAGGCTACAACAGCAAAGAGGAAAAGATCATGTTCTTATGTAGTAATGGTGCTTTTCTATTTAACCTGTTGATAAATAATTTTGGGGGGGTGGGGGGTCTGAGCCAGTCATTAGGTCCATCTTCTGCATGTTCATTATACTTAAGGGTAAGATAAATTTGGGATGCTTTTACTCTTTGGGTTTTGGTTTTGCTGTCATAAGCTGGTATGTCTCCATGTCTAGATGAGCCTGTGCTTCTGGCATCAGTACAGACAGAGCTGTTACTGGTGGGAGTCCATAGTGGCACCTTGCGTCTCCTCTCCTCTGCCAGTCGGCCGGTCTTTTCACTGGATTACCACTGGGCTCAGCAGAGAATTTACTGGCTGAGCCCTGACTATCAGAGCATCCGCTGGGTTGATGTGAAGGACTCAAATAATAAAGGGACACTTATCAAAGGTACAGCTATTTCAGGAACTATACATTTGAATAATCTTGGTGAAAAAGTTTGAATATAAGAATAGACCCATGTCACGGCAGCCATTTTGATTTGACATAGCAGGAAACCACATATGCAGTAACACTCAAAACTACACCATTTGACTTAAGAACTAGTTCCAGGGTGCTGCTATTGTGCATGCTGGCTCATTGTTCCTTATTGGGACAGTTTAATGGAGTCATTCATTGTCTTTCGATTGTGCATCTCCTGCCGTGATGAGTGAAAATGCAATCTGCGGAGAAGGTTTATGTGAATGTACATAATTGAGATGACCACAAACAAAATTTGAGTTTAGACTGACTTGAATTTATAGTATTCAAATGAAATCTTGTTACAGGAGTCAAGTCGGATTTCATCGCAGTAGACTGGATCGGTAAGAACCTGTACTGGGTGGATGGACTTGTTGGCCAGATTCTAGTTATGAAGCTCAGCAATACCACATTGAGATCGCAAGACTACACCGTAGTCCTAGATGAAGATCT